ACATTTGTATCCTTGGGGTAAATACCCAGTGCAATGGCTGGGTCATAGGGTAGCTCTATTTCCAACTTTTTGAGGAACCTCCATACTGTTTTCCAGAGTGGCTGCACCAGCCTGCATTCCCACCAACAGTGTAGGAGGGTTCCCCTTTCTACACATCCCCGCCAACATCTGCATTTCCCGACTTAATTTTGGCCTTTCTGACTGGTGTGAGGTGGTATCTCATTGAGGTTTTGATTTGGCTTTCCCTGATGCCAAGCGATGTTGCGCACTTTTTTATGTGTCTGTTGGCCAACTGGATGTCTTCTTTGGAAAAATGTCTGTTTATGTCTTCTGCCCATTTCTTGATTGGATCATTTGTTCTTTAGGTGTTGAGTTTGATAAGTTCTTTATAGATTTTGGATACTAGCCCTTTATGGGATATGGTCATTTGCAAATATCTTCTCCCATTCTGTCGGTTGTCTTTTGGTTTTGTGGACTGTTTCTTTTGCTGTGCAAAAGCTACTTACCTTGATGAAGTCCCAATAGTTCATTTTTGCCCTTCCTTCCCTTGCCTTTGGCGATGTTTCTAGGAAGAAGTTGCTGCCGCTGAGATTGAAGAGGTTGCTACCTGTGTTCTCCTTTAGGATTTTGATGGACTCCTGTCTCACGTTTAGGTCTTTCAACCATTTGGAGTCTATTTTTGTGTGTGGTGTAAGGAAATGGTCCAGTTTCATTCTTCTGCATGTGGCTGCCCAATTTGCCCACACCATTTGTTGAAGAGATTGTCTTTTTGCCATTGGACATTCTTTCCTGCTTTGTCAAAGATAAGTTGACCATAGAGTTGAGGGTCCATTTCTGGGCTCTCTATTCTGTTCCATTGATTTGTGTGTCTGTTTTTGTGCCAGTACCATACTGTCTTGATGATGACAGCTGTGTAACAGAGCTTGAAGTCCGGAACCGTGATGCCACCAGCTTTGCTTTTCTTTTAAACATTCCTCTGCCTATTTGGGGTCTTTTCTGGTTCCATACAAATTTTAGGATTATTTGTTCCATTTCTTTGAAAAAAGTGGATGGTATTTTGATGGGGATTGCATTGAATGTGTAGATTGCTCTATGTAGCATTGACATCTTCACAATATTTGTTCTCCCAATCCATGAGCATGGAACGTTTTTCCATTTCTTTGTGTCTTCCTCAATTTCTTTCATGAGTATTTTATAGTTTTCTGAGTACAGATCCTTTGCCTCTTTGGTTAGATTTATTCCTACATATCTTATGGTTTTGGAGGCAGTTGTAAATGGGATCGACTCCTTAATTTCTCTTTCTTCTGTCTTGTTGGTGTATAGGAATGCCACTGATTTCTGTGCATTGATTTTATATCCTGCCACTTTCCTGAATTCCTGTATGAGTTCTAGCAGTTCTGGGGTGGAGTCTTTTGGGTTTTCCACATAAAGTATCATATCCTTTGCAAAGCATGAGAGTTTGACTTCTTTGCTGATTCGGATGCCTTTTATTTCTTTTTGTTGTCTGATTGTTGTGGCTAGGACATCTAGTACTATGTTGAATAGCAATGGTGATAGTGGACATCCCTGCCATGTTCCTGACCTTAGGGGGAAAGCTCTTGGTTTTTCTCCATTGAGAATGATATTTGCTGTAGGTTTTTCATAGATGGCTTTTAAGATATTGAGGTATGTGCCCTCTATCCCTACACTCTGAAGAGTTTTGATCAAGAAAGGATGCTGTTTTGTCAAATGCTTTTCTGCATCTATTGAGAGCATCATATGGTTCTTGTTCTTTCTTTCATTAATGTATTGTATCACATTGATTGATTTGCGGATGTTGAACTAACCTTGCAGCCCAGGGATAAATCCCACTTGGTCGTGGTGAATAATCCTTTTAATGTACTGTTGGATCCTATTGGCTAGTATTTTGGTGAGAATTTTTGCATCCATGTTCATCAAGGATATTGGTCTGTAATTCTTTTTGATGGGATCTTTGTCTGGTTTGGGGATCAAGGTAATGGTGGCCTCATAAAACGAGTCTGGAAGTTTTCCTTCCATTTCCTTTTTTTGGAACAGTTTCAGAAGAATAGGTATTCATTCTTCTTTAAATGTTTGATAGAATTTCCCTGGGAAGCCATCTGGCCCTGGGCTTTTGTTTGTTGGGAGAATTTTGATTACTCCTTCAATTTTGTTAGTGGTTATAGGTCTGTTCAGGTTTTCTATTTCTTCCTGGTTCAGTTTTGGTAGTTGATACATCTCTAGGAATGCACCCATTTCTTCCAGGTTATCTAATTTGCTGGCATAGAGTTGCTCATAATATGTTCTTATAATTGTTTGTATTTCTTTGGTGTTGGTTGTGATCTCTCATCTTTCATTCATGATTTTGTTGTTTTGGGTCATTTTTTTCTTTTTGATCAGTCTGGCCAGGGGTTTATCAATCTTGTTAATTCTTTCAAAGAACCAGCTCCTAGTTTCGTTGATCTGTTCTACTGTTCTTTTGGTTTCTAGTTCATTGATTTCTGCTCTGATCTTTATGATTTCTCTTCTCCTGCTGGGTTTAGGCTTTATTTGCTGTTCTTTCTCCAGCTCCTTTAGGTGTAGGGTTAGGTTGTGTATTTGAGACCTTTCTTGTTTCTTGAGAAAGGCTTGTATTGCTATATACTTTCCTCTTAGGACTGCCCTTGCTGTATCCCAAAGATTTTGAACAGTTGTGTTTTCATTTTCATTGGTTTCCATGAATTTTTTTAATTCTTCTTTAATTTCCTGGTTGACCCAATTATTCTTTAGTAGTGGCCCGACTGTCCTGCGGATCACGGTTTATGGCAACCCCAAGCTGAGAGCCCACTCCTTGGCTCCGTCTTTGCAGCTGGCTTCCCTGCTCCGATACCTGGGAGCTCTGCTGTGCTCAGGGACCCCCAGTCTTCCTGTGACCCCGAGGGTCTTGAGAAACACTGTCCCATCGAGGGTTCCACCCACCGCTTAGCCACTGGAGTGATGTCCCTCAGAGGAGCAGACTTGTAAAAGTTCTGATTTTGTGCTCCGCTGCTCTATTACTTGCCGGTAGCCGGCTGGCAGAGGCTCCCTCACCCCGCGGTCTATCTTCCCAAATATCGCCTCAAATTCACGTCTCTGCACGTCCCACCTTCCAGAAGGTGGTCACTTTTCTGTTCAGAGAGTTGCTGCTATTCCTTTCTTTGATCTCCTATTGAGTTTGTAGGTGTTCAGAATGGTTTGATCCCTATCTAGCTGAATTCCAGGGACCAGACGAAATTTAGGTCTCCTACTCCTCTGCCATCTTGCTGGGATTCTCCCTCATTTATTCTAAATATTATTATTCTACTATAATATTATGCCATCATATACTGATCCATTCTCCCATAGATAACATTTAGGCTGTACCCAATTTTTTGTCATTACAAAAAATATTGCAACATACACTCTCGTGAATGTCTGTTGACAAGGGTAAGAATCTGAATAATATATACAGGAATGGAATAGCTAGAGTGGAACACATACATTTTTAATTTCTTGAGATTTTTTCCAGTTGCTTTCCAAAGTGCTAATATTAATATTAATATTAGCAGTGCACAAGAATTTCTGTTGCTCCATATCATTGCCAGAACTTAGTGTGGCTTGACTTTTATAATTTTGGTGAACTCAAGATTCATGAACTAGTATTTTACTGTTCTTTTAACTTCCACATTTATGTGTGTAATGAAGTATTTTTTAAAAGTGATTGGCCCCACAGAGATCTCCTCTTTTGTCAAATGTCTGATCTCATATTTGTCCACTTCAATACTAGTTGTTTGGCTTGTTCTTATGGATTTTGGCCTTTCTAATGAGTGTGTAGTGGTATCTCATTGTGGTTTAATTTGTACTTCTCTAAAGACATATGATGTAGAGCATCTTTTCATATGTTTAGTTGCCATCTGTGTATCTTCTTTGGTGAGGTTGTTATTCAGCCATAAAAAAAATGAAATCTTGCCATTTGCAATGACATGGATGGAGCTAGAGAGTATAATGCTAAGTGAAATCTGTCAGAGAAAATCTTTGGCCTTTTCTTAAATCAAGTGTATTCAGCCATGTCCAGTCTACTAATAAGCCCATCAAAGGCATTCTTCATTTCTGTTATAGTGTTTTTGATCGCTAGCATTTCTTTTTGGTTCTTTCTTAGGGTTTCCACCTCTCTACTTACATTGTGCATCTGTTCTTGCCTGCTATCTACTTTATCCACCAGAGAGCCCTTAGCATATTAATCATAATTGTTTTGAATTGTGACATCCCTGCCAAATTTGAATCTGTTTTTTTTTTATTTATTTATTTGACAGAGAGAGACACAGTGAGAGAGGGAACACAAGCAGGGAGAGTGGGAGAGGGAGAAGCAGGTTTCCCGCTGAGCAGGGAGCCCGATGTGGGCCTCGATCCCAGGACTCTGGGATCATGACCTGAGCCAAAGGCAGACACTGAACGACTTAGCCACCCAGGCGCCCCCTTAATCTGGTTCTAATGCATGCTGTCCCTTCCAATTGTGTTATTTGCCTTTTACAATGCTTGTGATTTTTTTTGATAGCTTGGCATAATGCAATGGGTAAAAATAATTGCTATAAACAGGACTTTAGTGTTCTGGTGGTAAGGTGTACAGGGAAGGGAAGCATAGTATAATCCTATGATTAAGTCTCAGTCTTTTTGTGAGCCTTTGGATCTGGATTGTGAACATCACATGTGCTGCGGCACATGGGTTTGATTACAATCTTCCTACATAATAAGCTCTCCTTAAACAACTCCCTGAAAATTTGGTAATCCTTTTCTTTACAATTTGCTGTGTATGATTAATTTTTGGGGTTATGAGTATGAGTTCTCTAGAAAGGTGTATTGAGACATTACAGTATAAAATATTATGATGATGAGAGTAACTAAATAGTCTATACGTAGGAAGCTAGACAGGACTCCAAATCTAAATGATAACGTGAATCTTGAAGATTTCACTTGTTTCTGCCTTTCTTGTCAGGCTTTTAACTTACCTTTAATGGATTTCACATTATCCAACATTCTGCTCTGGGAACAAGTCTGCCCTGCAGAGAACAAATTTATTTTACAATTGGTGAGCAAATTAAGATAACAGATGGAAAATTTATATATTCAGCTATCATTTATTGTATTTATTTTCTTGTGATTTGAATGATTTTCTCTCCATAATAATAATTTGATCATATCAAAGCTTTATGATATAACTGTAAATAATTGTACAATGTACAATTATAATGATTCAACAGCTCTATATATTACTCAGTGCTCATCACGACAAGTGTACTCTCAATCCCCTTCACCTCTTTCACCCATTGCCCCCCTTCTGGCAACCATCTGTTAGTTCTCTACAGGTTAAGAGTCTGTTTTTCTGGTTTGTGTCTTTTTTTTCTTTGTTCATTTGTTTTGTTTCTTAAATTCCACATATGAGTGAAATCAAATGGTATTTGTCTTTTTCTGACTGACTTATTTCACTTAGCACTGTACCCTCTAGATCTATTTAAAAGTACTCTCTTATAGAGAGATTGAATGATGTCAGCAAAAGTAGCTGAGCAGGTTGCTCCATGGAACTCTCCCTCCACTGAAACACTAAACAAACAAACAAAAAACTGTCAGAATCAACTTTGTAAAATAGTCAAAGCTTTACATCAACTAAGTGAAAGCTGAATCAAGAAAAAGGCATCTTACAGTAAGAGAGCTTTGTGGCATTTTAACCCTCCTCCACAAACTATTTTTGATCACATATCCCTCTCAGTAAAACATTTTCTTTCTTTTTTTTTTTTTAATGATTTTATTTATTTATTTGAGAAGGAGAGAGAGAGATAGCAAGAGAGGGCACAAGCAGAGGGAGAGGGAGAAGCAGGCTCCCAGCCAGACATGGGGCTCTATCCCAGGACCCTAGGATCATGACCTGAGCTGAAGGCAGACGCTTAACAGACACCCCCAGTAAAACATTTTCAAGCACAAAAATGGTAATCTCTTATTTACCTGTAAAAAGTTTTATTCCATCCATATGCTTTTTCATTTCAACCTTCCCATGAACTATAAGAAAATGTAAATCAAATACTTACATGGCATTCACTTGGAAATGCAAACTGGAAACATAGTAGCATTCACTGGCTACTGAATTTTATCCTACCCCTTCCCCAGTGAGCACAACTACAAGGAAAATAATCACTCTACTTATTATAAAAGTGCCTGTTTTAACAACTGCTTTGATCCATTGTCAAACAGCAAAACAAATTCTAAAGTGTGAGATTCAAAAGTCACCGTTTTAATAGGACCTTATTTTTAGCTTTAGATATTGGAGAACCAAATATGATTCTGATCAGGCCAAAGAAAACAAAATTTTAAATCAGAACCTATTATTCACCACTGTTTCAATTGGATTTGTGAAAGTATCTTTTTTCTTTACTGACATCCTAATTACTACTTTGCTTTCATGTTCACTGACTTAGACTAGTTTACTCTTGATCTACATGATTTATGATTTACTTGAGTAAAATATTCATTTTGAGGTTAATTTCCCAACTCTAATGGTTTGCATAATTTGTATTGTAGATACTCAATTGAATTTTATAAAAATTAATATTTAAAGAGACTTAATGTAGGGGCGCCTGGGTGGCTCAGTCGTTAAGCATCTGCCTTCGGCTCAGGTCATGATCCCAGGGTCCTAGGTCCCTGCTCAGCGGGAAGCCTGCTTCCCCCTCTCCCACTCTCCCTGCTTGTGTCCCCTCTCTCTATCAAATAAATAAATAAAATCTTAAAAAAAATAAAGAGACTTAATGTAGAAACATATTAAAGTACAGAATTATCTCACAAATAGATGATTTTTGGGATACATATTTTGTGAAAAATTGTCACTGTTGGTAAGTTGAAAAATTCCTGATTTTTGTCAAATTTTAAGTGATAAATTACAGTATGTAGTGTGTAAAAACCCCTATACCAAGAAAAATTTATAAATGAAGGTCCTAGATAACAAATACTACTGGTATTAGAAGTATGTAGTGACTTATAGTAGAAGCCATGTAACACTTATAGGTATGCATATAATAAGTATTAGAACAGAGAACAGGAAAAATATACATAAGTTATTTATATGATTGCTAAAACTAGACAAACTGTAATCTTTCTTCTTTTTCTTCTGGATCTGTTGAGGCAGGACATTCCAAAAGTTATCTCTATAGTAAAACCAGCTAGCTAGGTCAGGAAAGCATGAAAATATGTGTCAGGTTTATGGGGCCATTGGAAATTCTCAGAAACAAAGATGATAACACCTACTAGGTGTAAAACTCACTATTTGAGTATATGCTTCCTTGGCTCACATTTCCACTAAATCTTGCCCTCTTCAGTAAATTCACATCTCTATCCTGACAGACACATTTTGAGAAAAGCTTTGCCCTATATGGGAAGTTCAAGGTCTATCTGTCCCCAACGATATAACTAGGGCTCTATGCCTGAGCCTTAATCTTTCAGAAAATTTTAAGCTCAATCCTGATGATAACTCCCCAGGTGACCAAATCGCCAATAAGCAGTAATTTAAAAATTCTAACTCTGATTTAAAGAAAAAAGGATGAATCATTCAACATGTCCATTTTATTTCATGTAACTTTTTTATCTAACAATGTTTTTCATTGTCTTGGTTGATTTTAAATTATTATTTTAAAATGAGCAGAAATCAATGGCAATATTAAAAGATAGTCCCAAATAATAATTATATTTCCCCCATAATTCTGCTAATTTTAGCAATATTTGAAAATTTTCATCAACCTTAGATACATAAAAAATAATTTTCTGTTATGAAAACTGGGGTTCCACGTCTAGTCTCACTTTTCTTAATGGATACATGGCAAGCAAAAAAAATAAGACAATGAAGACCACTTACATATTCTTTCTGGTACACTAACAGTGGTACAAATTAGAGAATAAATTAAATAAATTAACAAAAATATACTTGAGGGAACACTGTCTACCTTACATAATGTTGGAATTAAATGCACCTTAATAGGATGAGCAAGTATTGATTCAACTAAGATTATAAAATAGTCAGGTAATGTTCCAGACAGATACTTCTGTTATGTTCTCAGACTAATATTTAACTTTTGCTTATTTAGTTTGAGAATTCCTTTAGCCCCCATTCAGAATGTTAGAACTTTTTTTTGTTTTTCAGAATATTAGAACTTTTGGACAGCCTTTGGACCACAGAGTCTGGCTCAGGAATGTGGGGATGTAATGCTGGGCATTCAGGCATTCCACACATTCAGGCCTGAGTGCTTAATGATCCTTTTCCCTTCCAGGGTATCTAGAAGATTTGGTCCTGTTCATTTAGTGTAGGAAATAGGTCCTACACTTCACATTCCTTCTTTATTCTGCATTTTTAAATGTCTTTGAAGATGGTGGGGTGGGGACAGAAATACTATTAATAATTTCCCACTTAGGGGCACCTAACTGACTGGTAGTAGAGCACGTGACTCTTAATCTCAGGGTGAGATCAAGGCCCACACTGGGCCTAGAGCTTGCTTTAAAAAATTTAAAAATAATTGCCCACTTCGGGCTATGCTCTATAATTTTTAAAAAATTTTCCTGTGTTAAAGTTTCTTCTATTTTATGCATTCCCATTCCCTCACAGTACTAATTCTCTAATTCTGTCCAGGTCTAATAGTGGCCCTGGCCATACCCCAAGCAGAAATAAAGTTGCTGAAGATGTCAAGGAGCAAAACATGTGTACTTACAGTCTGAGTTATCTTTAATGTTTCCATCTTCTTAATGCCAACTAAGTTTTCAGAGATTCTTTTATAGAAGCCCATACTAACCAATTCAAATATATCTTAAACACTCACCATCAACTGGTAGATCATGTTTCAGATCATTAATTTCCTTTTCTGAAAGGCTCATCCCCATATTTTGCAAAGGAGCATCTGCTTTATTGACATCAATAATCTCTCCTGTGAAAAGGAAAAGAATATGAGAAAAACTTATTGGCTCCAAAATACAACCACTGATATTATATATGGTGCATTATGATTATCAGCCTCATGAGAAAGACCAAGACTCAATAAAGTCCATTCATATATATCAAAGGGGTCAATAAGGCTGTTAGACTTAGAATAGAAATCTTCCAGGTGATTGGGCAATTTTTGAATCATTTACACCAAAGGCTAAAATCAAAATATGGCTGACACTGAGGGTTTGTTTTTTTTTTTTTCTGAACTCCCAAATTAGATGTTTCAACTCCTTCCTGACAAAAATCTGTAATCAAGTTCTGTTTCCATTTATGTGGAGGTCTATGTTATTCAGACCAACCTGCCTGCTGGAAACTGAAATCTTGGATAAAATGTAAAAAGCATCTCCTCAAAAGTACTGAAAAGCTGATAAGAGAGTAAGGAATTACTACTGCAAAATCTAATGAAAAGCAGGAACCTAGGGAGGTGAGCAGAACACTGTTATTGCTTCTGCTTGAATGGTATTTGCTCCATCTGGATTTGAACTGTAATGATGGCCTCATGGAGTGTGGGTGATTCTGTCCAATTGCCCAGCAGAAGCAAGTATTCCCTAGGAATGTGCTTCCATCCTTAGCCTCAAAGCGTTCTTTCAATAACTGTCCAGGGAAAATAGCTCACAATCAAACACAGAATGAAAGAAATTACCTGAGAGAGAATAAGCAGAAATAATAAGCAGCAGCAACATGCTCACAAAAACTTCAGATTTAGAAATTATCAGGCACAAATTACAAAACTATTATGCTTACTATGTTTAAAGCAATGGAAAACAAGCTAGAAAGTATCTGCAGGAAACAGCAAGCAATGAAAAGTGACCCAGTATAGCTGAAAAAGAAAAAAACAATTTAGAAATGAAAAGAAGGGGGAAAGAGGAGGAAGGAAACAAGCACCTGTATGGGAACAGGAAGGGGATCCTGAACCACATGGAATTCATCTTCCACCCTCTAGTGAATCTAGGGCTGCAGGCAAGTACAAGTGCTGTCTCACTTTCCTGAGCTTCTTAGTGGGCAGCTCAGGATGTCTATGGAGCCCTCCTACTGGTGCACACCTACTGAGCATATATGGCATCATCTGCACCCATGGAGGCCCGAGCTAGAGCCAAGAGGACACATCACCACATGGTCTAATCTTGACTCAGAATAATGCGGATCTATACTGAATGTGGAAGATTTTGATGTTAAATTTAAATTTGAAAGGATAGTCAATATTTCTGTACCAGAGAAAACAAGAAATAATAGTGTGCTATATGCCTTCATATTTCTTCATTATATTGGGATTTTTAACTTGGGACGATAATAAACATGTACATGTGCTAAGTCATCTGATAAGTGGTTTCTAAACCATAAGAAATCAATCTTCTCACTAGGAAATATGTTACACAGCAAATGGAAGATGGAAAAAAAAAAGAAAAACCAAATATCCTACAATTAAAAAATCACACAAAAAAGATGTTTCCATAAAGAATAGTCAGAACCAGGGTAGGAGGGTGGGGCTGAGGAGCTGTGTGTGTGTGTGTGTGTGTGTGTGTGTGTGTGTGTGCGTGCGCACGCGCTAGGGAGTGAGGTTAGACCTACCAATATTAAAAGATTATAAAGCTGTTATATTTAAGCCATTCAGAACACAAATAAGGAGACCAATAGAACAGAATGTAAATTCCCCAAATAGACAAGTGCATATAGAAATCAAGTATATAGTTAGAATGGTGTCTCACATTGAAGGGAGTGGTGACAGACTTTTAAGTAAATAATTCTGGACAACTGTAGAGCCATTTTCAAAAAGGTAAACTAGATCTGTATTTCCTGATGGAATGCAATGTGAAGTACACGGTATTACTTACAAAGTATTGTCAAAAAATGTTGAAACTAAAAAAAAATTTTTAAATTAAAAAAATGTTGAAACTGAAAATAATTAAGCCATTTGAGCTGACTCCTAGCTTATAAGGAATACAGATGATAGAGGAAAAAGATATATGAGAAAACAGACAAATTTAGTATGGGGGAAATTCTCCAAGACATTTGGCAAGAGTTTCTTCAAAAAAATCAGTGCCTAGAGAAAAAGAGGGTAGAGGAACAGCTGTAGATTACGTGAGATTCATGTGTCATAACAGATGCAGTGTGTGAGCTTGTTTGGTTTTTTATTTGAACAAGCTCACTATAAAAAATATTTGAGAGATAATAAGGGAAATTTAAAATTAAACTATACAATGGTATTGCAGTTATGTAAAAAATGGTCCATATTTTTAAGAGGTGCATACTGAAATATGTAGGGACAAAATGAAATGGGATTTGCTTTGAACTACTTCAGTCAGAAAAATAAAAAAAAAAGCAAGTGTAACAAATCTTCGTAATTGTTGAATCTAGGTGATAGGTATATGTGAGTTCGTTATATTACTCTTTGTACTTTTGTGTATGTTTGGAAATGCTCATCATAGCCAAAAGGTGGAAAGAACCTAATGCCCATCAGCTGATAGTGGATAAAAAAAATATATACACATATAACAGAATATATTATTTGGCAACAAAAAGGAATGAAGTTGTACACCCATGTTCATAGCAGCATTATTTATAATAACTAAAATGTGGAAGCAACTCAAGTATCCACTGATGGATGAATGAATGTATATATATACAGTAGAATATTATTTGGCCTTAAAAAAGAAGGAAATTTTGACATATGTTACAACATCGTTGAAACTTGAGGACATTATGCTAAGTAAAATAAACTAGTCACAAAAAAATAGAAATAGATACTACATGATTCCACTTATATAAGGTACTTCGAGGAGTCAAAATCATCCAGACAGAAAGTAGAATGGTTGCCAGGGACTGGAGGTAGGGAAGAATGGGGAGTTTTTGTTTAATGGATATATAGTTGTAATTTTACAAAATGAAAAGAATTCTGGAGATGAATCGTGGTAGTGGTTGCACGGTTGCACAAAAATGTGAATGTACTTAATACCAGTGAACTGTACACGACAGTGGTTAAGATAATAAATTTTATGTTTTGTATATTTTACAATAAATTGAAAATAAAAAAGAATGGAATCCTGATACATGCTACAATATGGATAAACCTGAAAACATTATACTAAATGAAAGAAGCTAGTCACAAAGACCACATACTATCCCGTTTATATGAAATGTCCAGAATAGGCAAGTCTATAGAAATGGAAAATAGATCAGTAGTTTCCTAGGGTTTGTGGGGTGGTGGGGGAGAATAAAAGGGTGAGACATATAGGGTATGGGTTTTTTTTTTCTGGGGCGATCTGGGTACTCACAAAGTCCTTTGATAACTCTACTAACTACAGTGATATTGTAATTAGTCCCAATAAAGTAAATTATAACCCCAAAAGGGACATCCAGTGACTCAGACTAGAAGGACATGGGGATGAAATGGGGACAAAGAAGAAATTGGAAGAAGGTAAGAGAACAAGTTTCAGTCTCTATCTCTGTACTGTATATGAAACTGTTTTCCTACCATGTCATTGAGAATTGAATAGACTGCAGTGGGTTACAGGTTTGGCTCAGAACATTGGTTCCTAAATGCAAACAAGATAACAGTAGTTCCTGTAATGTCAGAAGATGACTGTGTGTGGGATAACTATGAGAGCGTCTGGTACTAACAACTGGTATAAGATTACTACATACTATAAAGGGTTTAATTAAGTACAAATGTCAGCAAATATTTGAGGCATCTATCTGTCCGTAGTGTACTATCACTACCCAGCATTGCCAGTCTACCTTTCATTTGGGGTAAAACTCCTTTCATTTATTCCATTCATTAATTAAATATTTACTATGTACCTAATAGGTAAAAGATACTTTGTTGGAGGAGGGATAAAGATGCACACTGAAGGATCAGGCATAGTCTCTGCCAAAAGAAGCTTGCATTTTATAGAAGGGAAGAGTGGTACTCATTTGTAATACAACCAGTTAAGTCAGAGCAAGTTGAGTAAAGGCCACCTCTCAGGATTTTAGCTTATATTACTAGGGTAATGATGATGGTACCAAAATTGTCAAAGAGTATGAAAACAGGAGCCAGAGTTTCTCAACTACTGGACATGTCACTGGCATCTTCTTCAGGAACAATTATTCATCACGTTGAAAAGTCTTACGAATTGCATGGCACTTAGCACCCCTGATACTCAAGTAATTTAATGCTAACAGTGCCCACTCTTACAATCACTTGGTGACAACCATTTGTGACAATCAAATACACCCCCAACATATTTCTAAAGGCCCCATGTGGCTACTTTGGTCAAATACTGCAATGAAAACTATGAACTCAGTTTCTGACAAAATTTATGATGTCTGAGGGACAGTCATAGAATATAAGAAATTTGAATACACAATTCAATATTTAAGTGAGAAAACTGATCTGAGGATATAAATCTGAACATTTCCAGAATATAGGGATAGTGGGGGGAAAAGATGTTTTTCTAGAGAAAGTGTTAAATGAAACAATGAACGAAGACAGAATTTCATTCTGCTCTCTGGGATTTATAAAAATGAAGAAATAGGACTTACTTTTACATTAGGAATTAATCCTTCCTGAAGATCTACAAAATATCTTCTGAGTGCCAATGTCACTAGTTTTAGAAATTCTTACATGCATGTTCACAAGCATAAATTCCCTTCATTTTCTTTTTCTGTTTTTTTATTTTTATTTATTTTATTATGTTATGTTAGTCACCATACAATACATCATTAGTTTTTGATGTAGTGATCCACGATTCATTGTTTTCGTATAACACACAGTGCTCCATGCAGTATGTGCCCTCCTTAATACCCATCACCGGGCTAACACGTGCCCCCACACTCCTCCCCTCAAAGGCACAGTCCTTTCTCAAATACTCACCATTAAGTAGCAGGTTTTCTGTCAGTTTTTCCTGTTCCTTTTCTGGAAGCTTAATCCTCATTTCCCCCAGAATGCTCTCCAAATTACTCGCATTAACCTTCCCTCCTTAGGAAAGCAATAGGGATGGAAAATGAGAAAAATGGAATGTTTCCAAAATATTAAAAATACACTCCCCTTTATATTATTAATTATTTAAAATTTTTTAATTGTTATGTTAATCACCATACATTACATCATTAGTTTTTGATGTAGTGTTCCACGATTCATTGTTTGTGCATAACACCCAGTGTTCCACACAGAATGTGCCCTCTTTAATACCCATCACCAGGCTAACCCATACCCCCACCCCCTCCCCTCTCGAACCCTCATTTTGTTTTTCAGAGTCCATCATCTCTCATGGTTCGTCTCCCC